GCATACCTGTTCCCCTGGAAGCCTATCTTAAAACAAAAATGAAGTGCACATAAGCAAAAAATAAATTGTATATATACATATGTTATTTATTTCTGCTTATGTGTGCTCCATTTTTGTTATACAAGTTGGGCTTCCAAGGGAACAAGTATGCACTTTCTTGTTTTGAAAGAAAAAAACAAATGACCTCTTGATTATTTATACATGTGTAGATATCATGCACACGTTGTACGACCATAGCTTTAGTTTCATGAATTTATAAATAATCTGTTCTGGTCCTCCATCTTCTAATTGAAGAGTTGTTGCTCTAGTGGTCTGGAGGTTCATGTATTATGCATAGAAAACAACTGGGTGCAGGCTACATTATGGTCCCATCATGCTAGCCGAGTCCTGCTGGTATGGGGAGAGATGATATTTCATATAGTTACAGCCTCATTAAGGGGCCACACTAACGGCCAGAACACACACACACACACCCTGGACAGTATGCTGTTTAAGCAACACTGCTGATGTAGCCATGACCCTAGAGATCAGTGCTGCGAGTATTGTCTTGTCTCATTGTCATTATGTGATATAAGCGTTGTAAGCCTCAAAACAACACATGGTACGCTGTTCTGAGTGAAGCAAAATAAATGAATTGTCTTGATTTTTTTCTTACTTGGGAGAGTTTCCCAATGAGCTCCATTTCATACTGAGATTTTCTGTAGGTAATCAACGATGCAAATACTGCTTTGCAAGGGATGTCAAATTAAAAGTGCACATCTTATCAATATTTATTAGGCCATTAAGTGAGGTTTGCGGATTTTGTGCTTTAGGGTGACCGAATGGTCAATAGAGAGTGATAGTTCTATTCCTGCATTACTGTCTGCATCAGGGATGCACGGTATCGGGCACGATACTGAGATCCTGTACTCGTACTCATTAAAATGCCCCGATACCAAACGCCGATTCCACCACACAGCATATGTTAAGTGCCATATTCAGACAATGAAACAACGACAACAGAACAACAGACAGCAGAATTGAGTTATTCAAGATTAAGGATGGCTACGAAGTATATGTATGCAATGAATATAATGTTAAACATTCAGTATTGACTGTATTGATGATGTGCGCGAGCTGATAAGCAAAGCACACTGAGTGGATTGAGCGCGCGGCGGCGCAGATGTGCGAGCTTGTCGAGTGAATATACCTTTCTCACAGACATCACTGGAAAGTTTGTAGTTCGGTCGGATACGTTAAAAACAAGTAAAACAGTGCACAAGTTACTTAACGGTAGGGAGCGAGAGAGAGAGCGAGAGCGCACACAATTCTGTTGTGTGATCTTTGATGTTCACTCACTTAGCACACGCATCATTTGGATTAAAACTAAATCGTAAAAATAAGACCATTTATAGGGGCAT